TTTCGTGAGTAAAAACCTCACTTCTTCGGATGCATCCGAAGAAGTGAGGTTTTTACTCACGAAAGCTTATGCCCAAATAAATCTGTTAGTCTTTAAGGTGCCACCAGACTCCTTGTTGTCTTTGGGAACTTGCTTTCTCTGTTTTGTCCCTTTCCCTATAACATTAATAGTGATAAATCAGGGATTTAATTCTCTGTCACTAAGTAAGTAGAAATGTGTGCTACTGGCCAGGAGTCATTAAGTCAGTTCATAAAGAGTGCAAAGAGAGTAATGACTTTTAATAGCTAGTTAAAATATAAACATTTTGTTTAGAACATGGCTATTACTTCACAGAAAACAAAGGCCCCAAATGTATCCCCCATGCAGCAGTTTAAACTACTTTTCTAGCAAAGATTTTTGCCACCTCTGCTACCACCTCCTTCTACCAGCTCATGTGCAATTCCACACTGACCTCTGAATATTAAATATGGTCCAAATAGCAAGGTGTTTGGCAGCTTAGATGTACTTGGCAGCCAATACTGGAAACAGTCGTTGTAACTCTACTCAACGGGAATGATTGTTGCATAGAGGAGGAGGAGGAAAGGAAGGACTGAGGTCTACCAGTGCTTGACCTCCCCACAACTCTATCTTATCCTCACAAGTGCAGAGAACTTATTACGTGGTCTATGCACATCAGATCCTGGTGGAAGACCCTTGCTAAATGTACCAATAGAATCCCAAGTCACTGCCAATATTACTCATGGAGGAAGGTACTATTCAGTGAGAGTAACTGTGGCAGAATCTGGCCCATATGACTGTAAAAAATTGAGATTAATATTAGATTCAGAAATAAAATATTTGATAATCATGTTTCTTAATATTTAATTTCTAATTCTAAAAATTGACAAAAAGAGCGTTAGCCAGTTATCGGCAAATGCAGTATATCATACATTTTTAATTCCTCCTTTCTACATTTTTGAGTGGAATGTTACTTCTTCATTTTTTGTGTGAAGACAGAAAACTATAATTACTAACGTATACCGATAATCTAATCTTTCCAAGTCTCTGTGTACCTTACTCTAAAAAGTGTTAATTTCCTTTTAAAATTAAATAAAACAAAAGTTTTATAGATTGTCCTGAATTTGGTATTCTCAGCTGTGACCACCGAGGCACAGTGACAAACTGCTGAGAAATATAGCACACTCACCCCAAACTGGTGGTTATTCTATACTTAAATATATACCAAGCCAGTATCCAAAATAAACTTCTGTCTCACCACACTAGTTAACAAGAATTCAAAAATGCAGTCTTCTTAAGCATTCCAGCCCTCACCACTCAGACACTAGGCTTTATGATGAGTGGTTATTGAAAGCCAGTTTCATCAAGCAAAAGGGTTCTTCTGATCTCAAGAGATCAGCCACATACCCAGGTAAATATATAACTCAGATCTTGCCCAATAATCACACTGCTGCCAATCCTTTAGTAAGTAAAATCTAAAGGTTTATTTATAAGAGAAAAGAAGAAGAGAGTTAAAATGGTTAATAGATCATATACATACAATCATTGCAAAGTTCTTTTATCAGGTTTATAGCAGTAATGAAATAAACTGCTGGCTTGTAAAGTCTCTGGTAACTTCCAAAAGATTGGAAGGTTCTCAGTCCATAGATTGGAATGTTCCTTTTGGTTGTAAGTCCATAGTCCAGAGAATCCGAGCACGAAAGAGACAAGATGGAGATGTTGCCAGTGTCTTTTATACCCTTTGCCACGGGCCTGAAAATTTTCTGTTTCAAACACAAAGCCCACAGCCCCAGTTTGTGGAAAAGTAGAGGCCCAAGATGGAGTCCAGGGTCACATGAGCATATCACATGTCATTACATGCTTCGGTGACTCACAGGGGCAACCATTACTAAGGCTACGATTTAATCATGGGTATTTTTAGTAAAAGTCATGTACAGGTCACGGGCAAGAAACAAAAAATCATGGCCCATGACCTGTCCATGACTTATACCATAAATACCCCGATTGAATTGTAGAGGTGGGAGGGGTGCTGTGATGGGGGTGGTACTGTAGCGCAACACCAGCTGCAGGGGGCTCACTGCCGCTCCTGCCACCGCCTGGGGAGTAGCCCTAGGATGCCTGGGGCACCAGCTGCCAGTGGGAGCTCCGGGGGGCCCGCTGCCGCTTCTGCCACCCCCGGGGGGAAGCCCTGGGGGCCTGCTGCTGCTCTGACCACCGCTGAGGGAGGGGAGAGAAGTCCCAGGGGGCCCGCTGCGGCTCTGACCGCCGCTGGGGCGGGAGGGAAGCCCTGGGGGGCCCGCTACCGCTCTGACCACCGCTGAGGAGGGGAGAAAGCCCTTGGGGGGACCGCTGCTGATCTGGCCACTGCCAGGGGGCGGGGGGAGGGAAGCCACGGGGGACCTGCGGTTGCTCCGGCCACTATGGGTGGGGGAAGCCCAAGGGCCAACCGCTGCTCAGGTGGTCCCCCGGGCCAGCCACATCGGTCGCTGATTGAGCAGTCCCGGGGATGGGCTGCCAGAGCCGTGGGTGGTGTGGCTGGCTGCAGAGCTGCTCCAGCAGCAGCCAGTGTGGCTGTCCCCAGGGCAGCTGCTCGGGCGGCTCTGGGGTCAGCCACACCAGTCCCTGCAGAAGTCATGGAGGTCACAGGAAGTCACAGAATCTGTGATTTCCGCAACCTCCGTGACAAACATGGAGCCTTAGTCATTACCCATCTGGCTGGGGCATCCACAGAAAGGCTCACCAGGCATGACGAGCTTTTTCTATGGCCCATTGTGAGTGTTAATTGCCTTTGCTGGGTCCTCAATACACAGCTTCAATGTAGATTTTACCAGGTGGGTGTTACCCCAGGAACAAACACATTTGGGATACAGATATATAGAGCAATATTCATAACTTCAGATACAGTGATGATACATGGATTTAGGATAATCTTATGTAGCACATCATAACTTTTCCATTGACACCTTACATGATTTACTTTGTACAAGATTTGTTGCAATTGTCTAACAGTAACAATATTAATGATATATATGGTCACAGTTCAATCATACAGTATCACACACATATACAGTCCAAGTTTATAGTATGATGGACATTTATTTTGCCCATTGGGCTTAATCATGCAGAAGTGTGGGTAAGGGTTGAGAGACAGAGAACAGTCCTGAACTGGTAGGGTGACTGAGCATGCTGCTTTGTACAATAAGGCTTACAGGACAGATTGTGGCCTAACTTGTGTAGCCATGCACGCTAGTAAGGAAGCATAGACACCCCCTTACCATCTTGCACTGGCTACTGTACTGCTGCTCACAGCATGGGAGTGGCAGCAGGTTTCACAGAACCACTGCATCCCCCATTTGTGGGCAGTGGGTGGAGCTTTGGCTCTGTTCTCCCTTCCGCAGCACACCAGACAGCATCGGTGGATGATGCAGTAGAGAAATCTCTGCAGTGCATATGATTCTCTAGTCCGGGGGTAGTGAGTAGGTGGACCGCAGGCCAAATCCGGACCACCAGACGCTTTTCAGTGATCAGGTGGGCTAGAGCTACCACATGGCCGGTATTTCATCAGCCTGGCCAATTTTTTTATGGATTTGCCAGTTGCCCTAAAAATAATTTAATGTGCCAAGTATTTTTAACATGGGTCTAAAGATTTGCATTATTGTCACAATACACTGGGATGTCTAATGTTAAAACTTTCTGTGTCCAGCTAAAGATGCTGCAATGTTCCTTCTTCTGCAGTTTAAGCGGTAACAGATCAAAATTGTTGAAAATACAGTGGCTGTCTGCTCACCAGTGCACTTTGTGTGTGAGAGAGGGTTTGAGTCACGTGAGAGTGAGGAGACGTGCAATTTTATCAATCTAATCTATATGTTTTCTCTCTCTAGATACTATAAGCGGCTGTTGAAGGGGGAAGAGTTACCGAGTAGCCTTGTGATTGGGGATTGGGATTGTGATCGGCTTGACTTGTGGGTAGGGGTTGCCAGGTTTTTTTTGCATTTCAAAGGTGGTAATCCTAGCATGGGCTGAAGCTCCACTGTGGAGACCCCCACAGCAGGGGGCAAGCGACTGGACTAGGCTGTGAAGCACAGTGTGTCTCTGGGCGGCTGCTTGTGCATTCATCATCAGCAGTGCAGGGATGGGCCTGTCCCTGGAGCCCTTTCCAGCCCCCTGCCCCAACTGGCCTGTTCCCTCCCCAGTCCACCTGCAGTCACCTGCTTCTGTCATATCCCAGCTCTCCCCAGGGCTGCTATTTGCAGTCTCCTTTGTCCCTCCCACTACCCAGAGTCCCCTTCCTGCCCCTCTGCTTTCCCAGCCCCCAAAGGGGCATTGCATGGCTAGCTGGATCATAGTCCAATAGCTTCACCTCCTGGCTCCGAGCTCAGAAGTACTCACACACACACACCATGCTTTGCTGCCCAGATCCTAGCCCATACCCATTCCTCTTCTCCCTTGCCCCCATCTCTGCTGCTTGGCTCAATTGGGCACAAAGAAATATTTGGAGTGGGGGAAGCAGCAATG